TTTTAAATCTAAAAATTTCTCTTAAGATTGCAACTGAAAATGGATTAAATGAACGAGCAAGATACGAACAACGTATTGAAGATCTTGAAGTTGGTTTACGAAAAGTAAAAACAAAAAAAATTTGATCATGAATTATATTTAATTAAAGATCATTTCTTTTTCTTTTTTAAAAGCTTGATAATGATCGTGAAGAAATTATTCAACAAAATCATACATTACGTCAACAAATAAAAGATTTACAAAATAAACTTGATGAACAATCTTTTACAATTTCACAATTAAATCAAGAACTAAATGATCAAAAAAATGCATCAGCACAATTAAGATATTTATCTGAAGAAGCTGAACGTCTTGTACAAGAAAATCAAAGACAATTAAATTTAAAAAATGAAGAACTTCATACTCACGGAGATAAAGTCATTAGACTTGAAAAGAAAATTTGTATGTTTCATATAAAATTTTAAAAAAAATCAATATGAGAAAAATTTTGTTTTAGATGAATTACAAGAAATAAACAAAGCTCTTAGAGATGATTTTCAAGTTGTACGTGTAACTGTTCAAACACTTGATAAAGAAAAAAATCGTTTATGTGGTGAAATTGATTTAAAATCTGAAGAAAATTTACATTTAACACAAGAAATCAATTCTAAAATACGTCGAATTGAAGAATTAAATATGATGGTAGCAGAATTAGAAGCTGCATTAAAGTAAATTTGTTTTTTTTTTTTCGTTTTTTATTTGAAAATCATTCGTTGATTTGATTATTTTTTCAGTCGTTCAAAAGAAGATACAAAACAAAAATTAAAAGATATTACCAATATGAGACTACAATTTGATCGAAATCTTGAAGAATTTAATGAATATCGACGTAAAGTTGATCTTAGTACAAGAGACCATAAACGTTTACAAGATGAACTTTTAACACTTACACGAGAAAATCAAGTAAGAAACTTTTTAAATTATAAAATTATTTGCTAACAAGAATATCAAATATTTCTCTCTAAAATATTTAGCAAATCTATAATAATCTATGTATATGTTTAAAATCTCAATATTTTTTGTAGATCTTAAAGATATTGTTGTACGTTTGTCTCGAGATTAAACCTTTGAGGACAAATTTCTTTTTTCAATTGAAAAATGGTTCTTCAATCCATTTACTGTATTCAACTCAAAATGATTACATAAAAAAGCTTGTGATAATATATGAAGAGAAGAGAAGAGAAGGAGAGATCATGACGTCAGTATATATTAGCAGAAAGAATGGAGAACATTTGAGAAGGATTTATATGATAACAAGAAAGAGAAATGATATGTATCAGATAGTAGATAGGGTGACCTATTATTCTTACAAAAGGGTTAATCTGTTTATTTTAAATTTCTATTTGTCTTTTATAAACTGAAGAATTTTCTATAATAATTCATACTTTCATGTCTTTTGTTTTTATTATTTGATATCCATCATAATTTCTGACTGAACAAAAAAATATCAAGCTTCAATTCATTATCATCTTGTTGAATAATTGTTTATTTTATTAGTAATAATTGAAAAATTTATCTTATCATATCCATTATTTGTAGACACTTCGTCAAGAAATTGATCATGGAATTCGTGATAAAGATAATCTCAAATTACAAGTACAAGAATATATCAAACAAGTATCCAATTGTGAAAATGTTATTGCACAAAAGGTATTGAAAAAAAAAATTTCTATTCATATGAGAAAACTTATTTGAATGTTAACATGAGACAAAGAGATTTTCAATTGAAATGTAGAAGTCTAGTATATAGCGAATAATAAACTAATTTTAATCCATTCATAGTTGTGAAATAAAAAATCCAAATATTAATCTTATTAAATAATCAAAAGAGACGAAGAATGAGTAGAGAGTAGACATATGCAGGATTGGGAGCAAAAAAAAATAAAACTTTACATAAATCAATTTATTATTGTTAGTTCTATAGATTTTCGATAATTAGAATTTTAAACAGTTTGTTCAATGTCTGCCAGAATTTCCACAATAAAAAAAGATTGTCGAAATTTCAATTTCACCATTATTTTCATGCTTATATCTTGTAATACAGAAAAAAAAACACATCATCATAAGTAAGATGGCATAAATATAAATAAAACTTGTAAATATTAAATCTTAATGAATAAATAAAGCACAAGCATAAGCACGCCTATATAAAAAAAAAATAAACGATTTCCTCATTATGGACACAAAAATATGTTTTTGTCATCATCTGATTGTATTTGCGCGTTGCTTCATTATCTTTAGATACTCGTCCTTTTTTCGCTTGTGAATATGATTGTGATATATTGTTTGATAATACATGTTTACTTGGAATAAATGATGAAGAAGGTGTCTCTTCTAATTTGATTCACAAAATCATTTTAAATAAGTTAAGTGTTTATTTAAAAACATGATTTTATCTATTTTTCCAGTTGCTCATCATGTTCTACTTTCAGCAACTGTTGCACCCAAGTAGACATGTGCGGGTTCGGAATCAGAAAAACTTCATCTCACACATGTATAGTAGAGAGGCAAGAAAAGTTCATCATAATTGTAAACTATCATCAATGGGACTTCCAAAGATTCGTATCGAAGTTCACTTGAAACCGAGAACCCCACAGAAATGTACTATGATCTACATAGCTGAAGTTCATGTTCCCCTAGATGTTTTCTTAAATAGATTCAATTAGACTTGTAAAAAGTTGATAATATTTAATGTAGAAATTTTAATCACGTTAATTATTAATCTCTCGATAGTTGTTCTTATTTTTCATAAAATAAAACAAATAATATGATTATTCTAGGAAAATGATCGAACAACCTTAGTTGAACAATATCGTGATGCCAGTAATGAATTAAGTCGGGTACAAATTACCTTAACTGATTTAGAAACACAAGCAAATAATCTTAAACAAGAATTACACATAAAGATAGCTGATTTAAAACGATTAACAGAACGCATTGATTATCTAGAACGAGAGCTTCAACACGTAAGAAGAAAAAACAAAGTTGTTTTTTTCTTTTTTAAATTCAATTATTGAATGTTTAGCATGTATCTATTGGTAAAGAATATGAAATTCAATTAACAAATATGAATCATTCATTACAACGTAATGAAGAAATGATAAAAAGATTACACACAGATAAACAAAATTTATCAAATGATATTGCGAATATTCGTGATCTTAATTCAACAATTGAAAATAAAAGAGAACAATTTATTCGTCAATTAACATCAAAAGAAATTGAAAATGAACAATTACAAGCAGCTATCAGTGACATGAAAATTGAAATTGATATGTTACGTACACAATTAAATAATGAAAAAGCTGTTGTACACAGTTTAGAAGAACTTATTACATCATTACGTGAAAAAGAATATCAAATACAAATACAATCGCAAGAAAAAAATACTGATTTACATTTCGCAAAAGATCGAGCAAATATAAGTGATATTAAAGTGTATGATTTGGATTTGAACTTTTGTTCTTTTTTTTTTTTACATACAATTTTTGTTTTCTTATTGTTTTTTTAAATTTCAGACAAAATCAAAGTAAAGAAATAGCTGCTTTACGAACACAAATTATTGCATTAGAAACAGATAATAGAAGATTGAGAAGTTTATTAACAAATGAAAGATATGAAAGGTATATTTAAGGTTGTGAACGTATAACAATTATTTCTTCTTTTATATAAAGAGAAAAAGCTGCTCAAGACTTAAGAAAATTAACTGATCTTACTTCACATATTGCCTCTGAGTCTCGATATCGTAGTGCATCACCTAAAATAACAACATCTGCTTCCAAGTAAAGCACTTCTTTTTCTTTGCTTCATAAAGATATATCTAGACCTACGACAGTTCCAAATTAGTTCCGATCTTGAGAACTATTCTAACAATTCTTTTGAAAGGAACTAATTTATTATAAACAGTTTTTTAATAACAAAACTGATCTGTTTCATAAGTTCTTTTGAGCAGTTCACTTGAACTTATGATCTTCAACTGTCGCAGATCTAAAAAAGAGCCTAGTTCTCTTTCGAAAACTGGCCATTGCACCTACTCTCGAAAGAGAACTGATCATTGCACCTAGTTTTCTAAAAGGAAACTATTCACTGCTCTCATTCTCGCAAGAAAACTGGTTATTGCAACCAGTTTTCCAAAGAGAACTGTTCACTGTACCTAGTTCTCCAAAGGGAACTAATCATTGTGTCCAGTTCTCCAAAGAGAACTATTCGTTGTACCCAGTTCTCGAAAAAAGAACAGGCTAGTAGAACTGTAAGCTGTCGCAGGTCTAAATATATTATTAAACTTTTAATTTAACGTTTAGTACAAATCTTCGTCGATCACCGGTAAGAAGCTATTCTCCACCACGTGCCGATACACCCCGATCATCTCCTACTAAAGTGAGTATTTTTCTAAGAATAAGCTATATCTAACATTTGTTATTTATCAACATCTAACTATGTGTGTATTTTATCTTTGTATGTAAAGATCTCCATTTCGCTGAAAGTTTCTGAACTTGACAAAAGTCATGAAATTACGCCTGAAATCAACATTAATACCAACAAAAACAGCAACAGCAATAATTATGATGATGATAACGTGGGTTCTCATCTTAGACTCTGCTCGTTTTGATTTTCCTCTTACTCTTGCTTTGTTTAGGGGATTAGCTTAGTTTAACATAATTAACTATTCACTTTTTTAAAATCTTCTTTTTCTTTTCTTTTTGTCTTAGGCCATTGATCGATCGTCCAATTTTCGTATTGACACAACTCCATAGATTTCAATTTTGAATTATATCTCATCCGTCCACATTCGATGCCTTGTTTTGTTTTGTTTTTTTTTTTTTTATTTCACAACATTTTTTCTTTTTATAATTTGGCCTGTCATTGTGTGTGTGTTTTTATCTTTTATTGAAGCCATCACATGAAACAAGTTTTATTGTACTTTTTTTTTTGCTAACGTTAGCGTGCATGCACGCTTTTTTTTTCTTTCTTTTTTTGTTCTCTCTTTGTGTGTATTTTTAGACAATATCAAAAAAAAAATCAAAAAGCTCAATTTAAAAAAGAAAACTGAAATTGACATTTTATTTTCTTTTTCCTGTGTAGATTTGTGATATGAGTAAATGAAAGAAAAAAATTTTTTTGCTTTTTTTTTCTTTTTAAATAAAAATTTATTAATGATGCGTAGAATTTGTTTTTTCTTTTTATTCTATTATTTAAATTGTTGACACAAAATATAGATATTTTTTTTTTCTTTCTATTTGAAAAAAAAGTTAATTAAAAATAATTCATAATAGGATTTTTCATTTGATCAATTGTTTTACGACGATGAGGTCTACCAAGAAATTTATGAAGCCGATAGGGTTCAACTTGCATTTCACCACGTTGTAACATTTGTTGTAACATTTTAGCAACTTGATTCGAATAACGACGATATAATTGATGTTCATGATTATCCTCGATTGAAGATGATGGTGATAATAAATCATTCTTTAGTGCTTGACTAACCTAAAAGAAAAATATTATATATGAAAATAAAATAGTTTATTTGTTTTTCCACCTGAATGATGATCATCGAAATGCATAACAAAATGAGACAACAACGAAGACTAATGAATGAATATGATTGCTGGTGATGATTGACCATGTTTTGATATCGATGTATTTAGTCAAATAATATGTAAAGCTAAAAAAAAATTTAATAATAAAAAATTGAGTAGTCTCTTTCGAATCGAGACTAGATCACAAGCATTTCTCGTTTGTTGTAAAAAAAACTACATTTGGACTCTTTAATAGCGATTAATTAACTCATCAAGGAAAATGATCAAGGTTTTCTGTTCTCTCTAATACGATATATTCATCCCTTATTGTATAATTTACATATATTATATAAGAAGTCATAAAGTCAAATAATTGAATATCTATGTATATTCGTAAAAGAATATATTAACATAAACAATGGTTTTCTTTTTACTGTACTTACTTAGTAACTTCGACAAAAATACTGTTTACACAATATGTTTAGGACTGAAGCTTTTAGAAAAAGATGATCCCATATGAACATAGAAGAGAGAAAAACATGTTCTAATTTCATTAAGAACGAAAAAAAAAAGAAGTAGACCTATCTACTTTTTATAACATTTTCCGAATGATAGAAAAAAGAAATTAATTATTAGTTACATCGATACAGCAATCAACCGGTTCAATTCTCCATAGGGAATATGAACATTTTTTCTTCGTGTTTTTTCCATTGGTTACTCAATTTAATGATCAATATTTATTCAATGTTTAATTCTATCAAAATGAGATGATACCAACAGATAAAACCTTTTCGAAGACTTATTTTGAATGAAAATAAAAAATAAATTTTCTCATTTGATACCATAGCTGAGAGTTTTCTTATGTGTTAAAATTTATGTAGAACATTGAAAATAAAGTATTGAAGTTTTATGATGTCTGAAACAATATAGTCTTTGTTTGAAGGAAACATCTTTGAGAAAAATTCCAAGTTCATATATATATATACATATACAACCTCTATTCTATTATCATAACAGTCAATGTTGTTTTTTCACAGCAGATATTTGTTGATTTAACAGTTCTTTATTTTTATTTTTTTCTTTCGAATGTTTTTTTTATTCTCCAATGACTTGTTCAATTATCCAATGTTGAATCCTTTTATCATCATTAGCGATCGAATGATATCAGTTATATAACGTCAATAAATTCATCTATAGAAGATCTTATCCACTGGGGAAATAGAAGTTCAATTCAAAGAGTAACTTCATCAAATACATAAAACGAAATAAATAATAATAATTATTTAAAGAGAAATGATCATTTTTGTTCGGTCAAATGTCTCAAAACAATTGAAGTTCATTTTATGAAAAGACAAAAAAAGTGATTGATCACTATTCAAGAATCAATAAACTTCAACGGTCATATATCTCAATTATTTGTGTTGTTGAAAAGGTCAAGTATAATTCTTGCTGTTATCTTCAACAAAAAAACATTGTTGTCTAACTTTACCGCAGGGAGCAATAGATCTCATCTCATATTTAGATATTCACATATAAATATTCCCTATTCAATTTATCTATACAATTAGCTACTGAACATAATCAATAATTACATTCATTTAATATGAATATACGTAGAATCTTTATAAATTTTCATTAAAAAGAAAGATATTATATGTAAAATGTATTTTCTATATGTTGAACATAATATTATAATTCTGCCAGTCGCACTTATAATTAGTTAGGCTGTTCAAACAATCACTTATAATCTTTTCTGCACTCCTATATGAAATGAGCAAAATACCATTGCACAGAAAGAAAAGAAGAAAGATGATCGGTCAGTCGACTGAATGATTGATACAGATGTGCACTTTCTTGATGTATTCATCCACGACCACTAGTATCAATGTATGGAAAAAGAAAGAATAGAGAAAAGAACAAAAACGAGAAAGTGTTCATTAGAAAGAAAAGAAGAGGGCATATCATAATTATATGATCAGTCAGTCAAGAGAATGGCACGAATCGAACTCATCAGTCTTTCTCGTATATGGTATACGATTATAGTTGTATTAATTCATTTAATTCTTGTCTATTTTGGTATAAAACAATGTTATTTTAATGATCGTTTACCATGGCCAATATCTTCTTCATCACCAAAATTTGAATTATTAATACAAAAAATTTGTCTTCTTATGTCATTTGTACTTCTTTTAATATTTATTTATCCAGCTTTATTTAAAATTGGAAATTTTTCAAATGATAAACAACAATTAACAATAGATGATTTAAAACGAACTGAAATATCTTTATGTTCGAAATTATGGCAACATTGTTTTTCATTAAGTAGTACTTTACATTTAATTATGAGTTTTCTTATTATTATATCAACTGTACTTATTCATGCGAAACAAATTATGGTTGGATTAAAAAATTCAGGTAAATTTTTTTTTTATTAATATTCTATTTGGAATTAGGCTTATTTGTTAAGTAAAATAATATTTAAAAAATGTTTATTCATCAATAACGGATCATTTATTCGATGACATTCATTTGATATTATTTATCAATGAACAAATATTTCTTTGGATTATATAATTCTATTATTATAGAGATTATAGAAATAGCTTAAAATGATTTATAATCACGTCAAAACAAATCGTTTGATAATGACTTGTTAATAAGTTTATTTTTATGGAATGATACCAATAAGACTGTTCGGATGCCACTGATTTCGATTTATTTTTTTAGATAAAATTTGTATATATCAAACAGATAGTTTTAAAATAAATATTATCATTTATTGACAGCTCGTAAATCGAAAACTAATAATTCGACATAATTTGCAAAACAAGCTTTAATTTTCTGATCCATTCTGGATTCAAAATACATAGATAATTTGTCATTAATCAATGACATATACATAAATTTTCATCATCAAATTCTGTTTACATTTAGAAACATAAACAGATTTCTACTTTTCTCTAACAAAAGATAAATAAACAAAAATACTTCGAATATATTTTCATGCAATAGATTACTTTGTTTTCTGTTTGTCAATTCTCTTGTCCATCAACAAGTAAGATTAAAATGATTGAAGAGCTGTTGATATGATTTTTTGAATGAGTTCAAACAATATCCGAAACATACGATAACATCTAATGTTCGAAAAAACAATAAATTTGTAATACTACTCAAACATAACTTTGGAATAGAGATGTACAGGACCAGGACTCTGAGACCATTAGAAAGGAAGTTGCCGGACTGGATCGAGACTAGGACTACACTAGATATATCGGAACCGGAACCAAAAAAGCTTGGTCCCACACATTTCGAGTTTAGAATCATCACATACGAATATATTTATCTCGTACATAGTCAATAATTTTTATAGATAAAATCCATTTTTTTTATTAAAAGAATGATATCTTATCAAAAAAATTGAATTTTTTAATAAAACAAAAAAACTAACATAAATTCTCTTTTAGCATTTCTATGGCATAATGATCTTGATTTACTTTTTGATTGGTCCTCATTACCTACAATATCTATAACGAAACGTTTTGTACTATCAAATCAAAATTTTTCATCTCCATCATTTTCAATTGATTCCTATACACGTTTAAGTCTAATAAATTTTCTATTTGCATCATTTGTTTGTATTCTACGTGAACCATATGTATTTTGGTCAATATCAAAAATTTTTTCTATACTTTATTCATTTGCTATTGCTCTTAATGTTTTACAATGGTGTTTAATGTACGGTGCATTACAATTATTAATAAAAAATATTTGTTTTAATACTATTGAATTACATCATAATATTGGTTATCTATTAACAAATCAACCTTATACAACATTATTTCTTTATTTACTTCTTGAATTTCTTATTTATATATCTTCAATAACATTTTATTATTATGCATATAATCGTTTCAAATCAAATTATAAACATACATGTTATGATCGTTTTTCAAATTATTGTCCAAGTTTAATAGCTATTATTATTTTATTATTATATACAGCATGTAAAATGCCATTAGCACATGATATATTTTTACTTTATATTCAAACACGTTTACCTCTTTTATTTCTAACATTTATTTTTGAAATAATTCATGTTTTATTAATATTAGCTATATGGATTTTTTTAACAACAAAATTAAATTGGAATATAAATTCTCAAGAAAAAACTTCATCAAATATTTTTAATGGTTTAACAGTTCAAAATACTCCAAGAGAAGAACGAATAAAAATTTCATTACCAGAATTAAATAATAGTCATTTTTCAAAAGAAAAACCTTATGAAAAAATTCGTATATTTCAATCGGAAATTTATTATCATAATCGACCAAAAAATTGGAGTTTACCATTAAATCAACATTCAACAATGATGGCTGAATTTGATAATAATGATGATATTATTACTCGTTCACCATCATATCCAATAAGTCAAAATCATAATAATAATAATAATCATCATCACGAAACACAATATCGAAATGCAATAAGAAAAACTCTTTCAAATATAAAAAATTCTCAAGAACAACCAAAAGCTGTTTTTCTAAGAAGTAATACACCACCGACACCACCTGCTAAAAGATTTACAAAAGAACAAGTAGAAGCAGCTAGATTACGAGCTCAAAAAATTATTAATCAACAACAAAGATCATTAGATTATATGCCACAACAACAACAACAACATTCAACTGCTTTACTTATTAGTCAAGTTTGATTTTTTTTGTATTGTTTTGTTTTTGTGTTGTTTTTTTAATTACCAAACAGGTTCAATAAATCGTTTCTGTTTAATTTTTGATTTTGATGGAGGTGATCGTTTGATTTTTTTTAATTTTGCTTTTCGAGTTGTTGTACTTGTTAGAAAAGTTTTTAATTCAAGTAATTCATCTTGCCGAATTTGTGTACCTATGTAAAAAAAAATGAATTAGAAATTAAACGAAAGTGAAATTTTATTTTATTTATTTTACCATTTTGAAAACAATGTTCAGGACTTGGTTTTGGACAACGATTGAGAAGACCACTATTAGGAAAGCCTATATAAAATAAAATATTGTTTTTGAATAAGAAGTTATTTTATTATTTTCTAACCATAAGGGAGTTTTGGTTTAAGAAAACAAAATTTTTCAAATATTTGAAGTTCTAAATCATCTTCTAAATCGAATGCTTCACTTCGATTATCAATTATCAAAGTATTTTTTAAATGATTCATTTTAGGAAATAATATAAACCAACTATTTTTTTTCATATCCATTGCAGTTTCTAAATAACAATAGGAATTTTTTTTTAATAAAATAATTAATTGCCTCTTTGTTTTTATTACCATTATGTTTAATTATAATACGAATAAAATGTGGAACATTTTCAGGTGCATTACTTTTTTTTATTGTACAATAAACAATAAATTCATATGTATCTTGTTGTAATGAATGAACTTCATTTGAATTATCATTATTATTGATAGGTATTAACCAATTAAAACGACCAAATAGAATTGTTTCAGCATGTTTAACACGTGTTTCAAACGTTGGTTGTTCAATATGTAATAAAATACCACAATTGACTAATGAAAATATCATGGTCGATAAAAAAATTCCTACCAGTATCAGCTGCATGAGCGCTTTGGCAGAATATTAATTATGGTAATATATTAGTTGTCGTATGTTCTTTCTTCTATTGTGTATATTTGTATTCAATGTGAGAAATGATGGAAAGTTGAGAAACCATCTGGACAACAATGTCAACAAGAAAAAATGATCTTTACAAAAAGAAGAAAACGGAAAGATCATAATGTAAACATTGTTTGCTTGGAGACGTAAGACACTACTGTCATATATTCGATTGAAGTCATGGTTATTTAATCATTCTAGGAAAAATAAGAATAAAAGATCAATATGTTATTATTAGAAACCTAATATTAATTTACTTTTTGAGTATATATGTTATTGTACATTAATTTGCAGCATATGAAACTATAAGAAGATCGTCTGTCATAGATTTTTTAAGATTGATGGTCAAACATTATATTCATAATATATACACCAAATGTTTTCTTTTGTTGATGCCGAGTCATGCTATACAGTATCTCCTTAACTACATTGAGTCCTCTTGAGTGCTATTCAGTAATTAATGTTTATAAACCGTCAGAAAAGAGAACATGAAATATTTTTTACGAAAGATTCAATATTAACTACAATCTTTACTATATAAAAGTTGATAAGATATATATCGGTTGAAATTCTTTATTTTCAGTCTAAATTTGTCAGAAACGGAAACTTTCCAATAACTGATTAGTGCTCTTAAAATTTCAACAAATATAATGATTGATTTGTATAACAAAAATTATAAATATGTGTTGGAAGGATATTAGTATTGAAGTATATAGAGTATTAAAGGTTGATTTCTTTTTAGAAAGGACTGATATATCAATATTTAGCAGTAAATAATGAGTTGTAACGAGTAGGGCAGATAAAATGGCATATTTTTGTTTTTGTCCTTTTAACGCCTTTTGTACGATTCCAGACACTTATGTTATACTCAATCGGCAGGGAATTTTTTCACTCTACAAAACTGTGAACTGTGTTTTTCACATAACTTCTTTTTGTCGAAGCTAAATTCAAAATATTCACAGCTACTCAATTATCGAACTGCGACGATTAAAAAACAAAAAAAAAATTGATGATTAATGTTAAATAAAGATTCCATTAAAATTTCATATATATCAAAAAGTTTTCACGAGACTCTGTATTTTTCAATGCATATTTCAGAATGTAAGAAAAAAGTTTAGGAGAAAATTTTTTTGATGCAACAATAAGAAAACAGAGTGGAGAGAAATCTTTTCCTAATGGAATTATATCATTACTCTTTTGTAATATGACATTTCATCGTTTCTTCTCTTCAGTTTAACAATCATACCATTATGTCCAACATTAAATTCTACATATGAAGATATGAGCATAAACGTTTCATAGGCCATGTGTGGCTTTGAGAAATATGATTTTCCATAATGCGTCCAAAAGTACTACTAGATGTTAGTACCAACTCATTAATCTTTAACAATAGCAGCAGAAATCTTGAAAATGTCTTGAAAAGCAAAGAGCATGAAAGTCTCTACGCATATGTGCTAAATGCTTGACTTTTAGCATCGGTCTTTTGATGAGCACAAGCTTACACAAATCAATAGATGCTCGGAGAAAATTATTAAAAATTATAGTTCGACGATTGAGTAGCTGTCAATCCTTTGAATGTTTTTCCGACACGACGAACATATTAGGAAAAAAATTAACAGTTCGGTAGAGTGAAGTCTCCCTATTTGTGAAGTATACAATGAGTGTTTGGAATCCTACGAGATGTGATGAAAAGACAAGAACAAAAATATCTCACATTATGTGACTCATTCGTTAAATCTTGATAGAATACGTTAAATGATAAATGATAATTTTCGAATTGTAAAACGTAATCGCGGTGAATAAAATGCTTCTCGAACTAAATTGAAATCTGATTATCTATGCAAAACAATTTTATAATGAATTGTATGTAGTATATGATATATTTTCTGTTTAATCGAAAAGTTGTTTATTTCTTCAAGCAACTGTGCATATTAAGAATCTTATGAGACAACATGTTTTTATTTATTAGTGGAATGGTGCTACTACAATGAATGATAATTTATAACAATAATAGGAATTCATAAAGAAAACGATAAAATGGTATCTTACTTTAATAAAAATTTTTTAAAAATAATTTTGCTTAACTATTCGCATTATTTGGAATGTATAATATAATTTGTCCAGATAGTCAACATTCAAATATGAATCATGTGCTATTTGATTAACTTATAGAACCTATTTTTCAATATAATGGATTATACGTTCGAGGCTTCATAATCTGGAAAAATACAGATATAGCATGCTGTGAGTGTGAGTATTATGTAAATATGTGCAAAGTTAGTAATATCACAACGATTAATTCTAATTCACTCCAGTTTCAATTCCAATTCTAAAATTGAAATTCACATGGGTGCATTCTTACACATGAGATCTGTCATGTCTTGATACTCATACGACGGCATTTTATGATGAGTCAAAATTTGATAAATATTATAAACTAAATACTTCATTATTTCAAGATGTAGATGATTTTTCTGTCAACGCATCATTAGCCTGTCGTATTGATATGGATAACTAAGAAAAGAAGAACAGATATGCATGCATATAATCATAAAGAAAAAAAAAAGAAATCTCATATGGCCCTATCTGAAAAAGATCCATGATAAAAAGATGGATAATTTGTAATGTTACTTCATTGGTGATCAAATATGGATAATCAAAAACGAACGTAGTTCGTATACATACACCATATCTATTTCACACTGATAGCTGTCAGATAAAGAGATATACCTCTAGTAGATATTAGTAAAAATATAGCCCAGAAGAAATGAACTAAGTTTTTGCTCATCAATAAAAACGACTATTTACTCCTTTGCAATAAATACAAGGGAGTTTTAACCTGCCAGAAACTAGTTGTGGCTCAGACCATCGAAGCTATAATATTTCCCATATGTGAAGTGTATCATAATAACAGAAATAGAAACATCAAGTGTTCTTCGAGAATCATTGCCACTTGCAAATTTCGATTATTTGCAGTTGATTGATAATTCAAGAATCAGTCTAAGGGATCATTTATTTATTTGCGACGAGTATGGCTCGATTTCGATCATGGCGTGATTTTTCATCAACTGAGAAAGAAACATAGTTGAATATTCTCACTAAGACTTGAATAAAAAAGTGTTGTTCTATTGAATTTTTCGCTGATAAACAATATAAATCTTAGTTGTTGGGTTTGTACTACAAGAATAAATAGCACAAGTCGTTTTGTGGACAATAGTCTCTATCTAGTAGAACTTTCAGTAAAACAAATATAAATAAGCTGCACTAGTCATCTCTTAGTCAGAACCACTGTTCATTCCTTTGGCATTTTTGTTAATTATTAGCTACAAAACCTCAGTTATTTGGCTATGGCGAAAGCACTTCAATGCAACGTAACAATGATGAAATTGTGGTTCAAACAATGGAAAGAGTCAAAAGACTTGACTGATTCAATCCGATTGGGTCGGTCACATGCAACAACCTCAAAAAAGGATCGAAAATTGCTTTATTTGCCAAACAACAGAAGCTTTCGTCACTAGCCGAAACATTGCTAGCCAAGTGAAGCAAAAACGAGCCATGATCAGAAAGAGAACGGTGCGACGGCGTTTGAACAAATCAAGTGCGAAGTACAATCGGCCTGTGCTGTAGCATATCGCTCATGAAAGATCATCGAGAAAATCATTTAAAATGAATACAAGATCATCGTCCGAATTCTGTCCTAGAATTTGTTTGGATCTTCCGAGGAAAAAAGAAAATTATACGAACCAACAAGTATCCTATCAAAGTCAATGTTTGGAGATTATCTCACAAGTGAAGATTTCAGTCGTGTCGTTTGTTTTAAACGGAATCTAAATGCGATATTGATGGAGAAGACAATGACTCCAAGGACACATCGAAACTAGCAATTAATTGGAAAATGAATAACGGTGTTCACAAAATTGATCAGTCGTCGATGTCACCCGATTTTGCAGCCATTACATATGATTGGCAACTCTTCAAGATGAAGTTAAGAAGAAAAAGGTTCATAACTTATCAATAGTTGACCTTAGTAATAAAACGCGAATGGGAAAGGCTCTAACTCCGAAACTGACCATTAAATTTGTACATTATATTAATGATCGAATTTCTAAAGTTAATGGAAGTCCAAGTGACTTTATATTATTGATCAATGCGTACTATCAGCTTGTACATAATAAAAATGTTTTGATTTGATCAATTCATTTGATAGAGTTTGTCTAATTCGAGAGACTTTCGGTCATCACTTTATATGAAGTGAACAAGTAATAATCGAATTTACATTTTTATTTTTCTTTCACCGGTAAAGATATTTCTTCCCTCAAATTTTCAAAACTTTTGATACTTACAGAAAGTCAGCAGCAAATTCGTATCTTTCTTGTTGACATTTGCTCTTGGACTTGTGATAACTCTTTAATTAGCTGTGATGGATGCAGAATTCGATTCTCTGTTGAATGCTGATATTTTTGATGGATGTCATCGGACAAAAACTGAGAGTTTTGACTTCATCTTGATAATATTTGTGTTGATCGCATTGTGATCGTTGCTGAAACTGGCTCGAAGGAAAATTTTGCAATAATTTCCTGTTTGAATTTGCTGTCTAATATTAGTTGTCAGATTCGGTGAAGCTGGTATAAGTATTGTTTACTCTACTTAGCAGTAGTCATTATTTTATTTAATTATTCAATTCATATGTTAATACCGACCGACTGTCTATTCATCGAAGGTACTGAGTGAACTACTGTTCTCCTTTAATGATCATCACTGATATGCATCAATAATTGTCTCTACATAGTAGATGCTCATGATGATAAAAATTGTAATGCTTCGATTATGTGCCAAAGCGAAATTTATTTTGTAACGAAAATGCAGATGGTAATATAAGTGAGACAACTTTTTTGTAGTGTTTATGCGGAAAGTATAGAATTCTAGCATATTTATTTTGGTTTTTTGAAGAAGATTTTAATAAAAATTAGAAAAAGTTTATTGATATTCATATAATATCTATGTTTACAATCTAACCTAAGTAATGTACAAGGTTATCTAATTACATCCTTTTCCAGAATGTAAATACGTTTCTGCACTATATATTTGATCCATGTAATGAGGAATGTAATGAAGAATGTAATGAATGAAAGCAGAACAAGAAACATTATTGATAACATAATTGTACCGAATCGTCGTATAACATTTATTACGGTTGATGTTATCTTTCACATTGTGAATAATATCGTGGAACAAATTCTTAATTTTTAATTTATAAATGAATATTAATTGATCTGTCATATTTTTGATTGACCGCGGGATAATGGCAATCGTACATATCGAACAGTGACACCTGGTTTTATCACTACATTAAGATTAATGCAAGTAGCTGGTGATAATTCAGTATTAGTACAGTTAATTGGACTATAGCAGACATTCGTACGATTGATGGTTCGTTCATCGAAATGACACCACCCAATTGATTGCTACTCCAATGTTTGTAACTATATATTGATCCATCCAACGATATGACAGGATCATCCTCCAAAACATCAACAAAGCCTTTCTGATCTTAACATTGACATCTGGTTCAGGATAAAACCTATGATTTGAATATTATTTAACACGCCAATAATCTTCGATTTGATTATACAAAATAACAGGTACCACATTCTTTCTAACATCACTATCAGGAACAATTCTATTTTCTTCGTGCCAAATACATATATGTGAATCGTTTGACATATAATGATCTTTTGACATATAATAACCTTTTAACATATAATAATCTTTTATAGCAAAACGTGGATTATGATCGACACACAATGATCGATGTTTATAATTATCATTAATTTCATTGACTTTAATTAATTGATTCGGATCATCTTCTATCCGAGGATGCAGTCTTCATAACTGAAGAGCTAAACATTACTGTGAATGTTTATTATATCGATTTGTATCTCACCAGAACGTGTTATCAGACATGAGCCAGCTATGTGAATGTCATCGCTAAACAGTTCAGATAAACAGGACGAATTGGATAGATATATAGACGGCAATTTCTTTTTGACAATTAAGGAAAATGAAGAGGAGACATTCATTTTTCTTTGGTGTGCTACTCCAAAAAATAGCCATTTGATCATCTGTGTTGACGTTAGTTGCTTTTGACATATTAGAATACATATATTTGTGACCATTAACAATGGTCAAGCAAGGAAATCAGTCGATAGGCTGAAAATTCTCCGATGATTGAGTGTAGAAACAATGTAGAAACAGAAGAACATGGTTTACAAACTGAACCATTGTGTTGATGACTTGAGCATGAACGGCGAGTGTACATAGATTGAGCGACGATTAGTTGAAAGAAAAGACCAAGCGTTTCAAAAAGATCGTTATTTTAATAAAATTTGTCGATAGAAGACGTGGTTATTATTAAAAATGGCATTAATTTAGTATTTGTCAAAAATCAAACCCAATTTTATTATTAGCTATTTTGTCTGTGTATCAAAGCAGATGACGTCAGTGATATATGTGAAGGGTCAGACTAATTACTGTCGGCGAGAAAATTTGTTGGATCAATCAGCGACTTTTTAATAGTATTTGTCGAATGAAATTAAACATCGATCAAGTGAATTTTAAAGTTCATTTTCGTAATAAATTTGTCAGGACAATGAAGACGAAGAACTTGATTAATATAGTTTCCGATAAAATTAGAAATTTGTTCGTTATCATATCGAGGTTTTGTATAGTGATCATATTATGAGATGATAATATAGTGTCAAGTTCTAATATACTAGAATATTTTGGATATAAAGTGAACACACAAACACCTGTTTTCGGTGATTCGACGCATAAATCATTTAGATGTACAAGTGTATGAACGATTTCTTCTCATCGAAAATCTCACAGTGTATCTTCTGGTATGAAAATAGAAAAAATTATTTGGATTATATATACATATATTCGCATAGAAAATTACCCATTTTTCGTGAACCACTCGATTGGTATTTTATGAAATAATTTCATTAGATTAAACAATAATATTGAACAACAGAAGCAAAAATCAATGACAGGTGGTGAGTTCGATCTCGAATGAGAGTTTGCTAGGATTAAACTATAGCCACTAATTTATTGAAACTCAACTCTAACTTCATTTAACCATGTAGAAAATTCACTATTTAAAAAACAATGTTTTTTTTTATCGTAGACCTCTACAATTAACCCATATGATCATTCAATGAATAACTCCTTGTAATAATTGTTTTTCTATTTTAATTCAATACTTCATTCTTTTTATTTTAGTAAAAGTGACGACAATGTAACTATTAAAAATCAAATGGTAATCATCTTCATTGAAAATCATTCAAATTCGAAAACATTTTTAACTATTGAACTATGTTTTACTAAATTTCGATGAGAATTTCTGAGCTACAATTTAATGTCTTCTACAATATTTTATCCAGCGTAGGAGCCAAAAGATTGGCACTACTTCGAAGATCGGGTTGACCTTTCCAGAGTTTGTAATCATCGTAGCACGTACTATTTGTCTATGCTCTCAAAAATAAGTGTTCGTACTCCTGAAGTTTTAAATCGCTCCTCTAGAATAGAAAATCTGGATAAGATACTGAATATTCCGTTATAACTTTCGTCTATTCTTTTTTCTCATCTTAGAACAATTCTCTGTCAATTCGGAAATTATCTGGTGAAGGTCCATTTTAGTCTGATGGTGCATTTGATTTAACACAAAAAGATCATGCGAAGTGTTTATGTTCCCGCGAAAAATATTATCGAGAATTATATCGTCATTTAATTAAATTTCATAAATTAACCGTATCAAGTATAGAAGTAATTCGTCAAGCAATTCAAAATAATGAAAATCCTTTTGAAAAAACTTTATTTCAATTAAATGATATTGTTATTGATCAAATAAATCATCTACAATGTCCATTTAGTATTCATAATGATGCATTAAAAATAACTCATAAATCACCTAAACGTTATTGTCGAACTGTAAAACCACAACTTGCATATTCATTACTGTTACAGTGATATTGCATGCATACATATTCTCTGTCTCCTTGTGATCCGCTGTCCTCTTTCATTATCCATTGATCTCTATTGGTATCTTCTTTTCTTTTGTTCTTCATATACATATTATATATGTTTTTGTTCTTTACATAATAAAGTTCGTGCATAAACATCAGCACATATGACATGTAACATATATTATGTAAACAACAGAAAAGGAAAGATTGAAACGCTAACAATTACGTTATCATTTAATTCGTTTTCGTCAAATGACAGTATTAAATGCAAATAAACTGGTATATAAATTGAAAATTACTTCAAAAGTTTTGAATCATTAAAGAAAAATAGCAAGAGAGAAGAATTAACATTTCTCTTTTGTTTGCATTTATAAAAAAACCTAAAAATAAAATTATTTTGATTTTTGTATTTTTCTTTCTTTCAAGATTAAAAAACAAAATGTCTGAACTATCTGGTCAATGTGAAGATGAATTATGTTTAAAAGAATCTAGTCCTATATCAATACGTGTATTTCCATGTTTATATCATTGTAAAAAAATGTTATGTATCAAACATTTATCTGAACATGATAAATATATTGAAAAACAAATACAATTTCAAAAACAATTAGAAGAGTTATGGAATAATTATATTTCAATATTTAATGAAGATAAAATACAAAAAGAATTTCAAAAATTAAAAATTAAACTTGAAAATTATCAAAAATTAAGTAAAGATATTAAGAATTTATTATTAATTAATCATTTTCATGATTCAATGGAGAATAATCAAAAACTTCAAATGGCTATTGAAACAGTACAGAAAGCTATTGAACAAGAAAATCGATCAAAATCAATTATTTGTAAGTTATTTTATTTAAAAGAAAAACAAAAAGAGAATAATTATTGATTAGGTGATATTCATCCAAAAATCGAATCAGTTATGAATGATGAAGAAGAAAATCAAGCAGCTATCGATTATGGTAACGTATCATATATAAACTACTTGGTCTACAATGCTGAATACTCAACTAAGTTTCGAAAACTGTTTGTTTCAATATGTTCTCTACGGGAAAAGAAAAAGTTAAGCTTAATTTTTTCTATACATATATCACGGGAGCACCTGACCAAACAATGAATTGCTTTGAAGATGAGTCTTACCTCATTAGATAGACCTCATTGAAGCGAGAGAAAGTTTAAAAGAATTCATATGTGTGATTTTGTTTTCTTGAGCTAGGGCTATTTGAATAAGTTTTCCAACAAAATGTTCTGATTCCTCTCAGAACATCTTCTGTGTTAACTTTCAAATTTCGATTTCAAACTTTGCACAAATAAAGTTCTCTGTGAGATTAGTTCATATTCTGAAATGAAAAGTATAAGAACAAAATTTGTTTGTTAACATAAGAGAATTTTTCAATATTTTGATACCAGAAGATTGGATATACCAGAAAGCCTCATACTTTCAAAATGAAGTAATTTCATTAAGAATTTTATTTATGCAAAGTTTCAAATTGAAAGTCGATTTTAAAGGTAATCTGAAAGAAATCATGACGTTTTGTTGAAAGATTTACTCAAATGACTATAACTCTACAGACAAGACATATACACATCAGTCTTCTTAGGCTTCATCTAGTGCCCTACACGGGTATGACTTTTCACATTTGGATTCAGATTGTTGTACCCAATACTCAACCGAGCTCGAATTGAAGCTGATCGACATGTGGCAGATACTTTTCCAAACTTTTATTTTATTTGAAAAAGTATACCATTTAGTTTCTTCCATAAAGAGCAACAAAAAAAAGAGATCGTCTCAAATTTCACAAAACAATAAGTAATTCAGGATTCATTTGGCGTCTTTCTGCTTCTAAAATTCGATCAGTTTCGCTAAGTATACGTTTGTTTGTTGCTAATAATACTTGAATGGAACACGGTGTTGGTCCCAACTATCATAATTATGAATACATTCATGAATACTTTTTCCATCATGACAATACATATTCACCCTTTTGATAATTGATTTTCCTCTCCTTGTATTGAGTCACTTCGTCATATGACTCATCATTACCTGTAGATGGAAATTTCACTATAAACAAATTCTTTTAGTAAAACAATATCATCTTCCACTTTTGTGAACTGTTCTCAAGTACGATAAATTGCTCAATTATAACCGAACCCATTTTCACTCTTATGCTTTTATATAACTTACCAATTTGAAAAAATAAAAATATTTTGTAATATTGAGGTCTCATTAATTGTCGAGTCGGCTCTGGATATGAGATCATAACCGGAATCCGATCCGGTCGGAGAAGACTAGCTTTATCAAGTTTCAAAAGGGCTTATCTATTCAGGTAAGACTCATCTTCAAAGTGATTTATCATTTGATGAGATTTCGTTATAAGCATAATAGTTACTCACACAACATCTTTCTGAAACCTGAAAATATTTAGTTATCCGATATGTTTATAAAAATTAAAATGCGTAATTTAATAAAGAAAAAAAGAAATAACATTCATTTTATGTTTCTAATATCTTTATCTTCATCGATCATAACTAACGATGGTAAATAATAATGACATATATGCAAACATTATATATTTAAACTTTTAAAATAGATTTGATTTAGAGGAGAAAAATTTGCATTTGATCGTCAAATATACTTCAGTTTTCTTTCATACTTTTAGGTTCTGAAACCATCGAGTCTTTTCCTTCAATATTGAATGCTGATGGAAATTCACCGTAAGTTTATAAAAAAATAAGTCCTTAGTTTTTTTTAAACATCATTTCCTTTATTGTCTTCTAGTCCAACGGAACAAGAGAACGAATATTTGCAACTCACTGACGAATGTACTTAATTTCTTTGATTAACTTTGATCATAAGATCATTTTCTTTTTATCTAGCTGATGGTTATAGAAATTCAATTGAATTAGAAAATGAAGATAATACAATGGAAGATAGTTCACTTAGGTAAAATACATATAATTATTTAATATATTTCTTTATTGAATTATTTTTGTTCTATAGAGATGAAAGTAATGAAACAGTATGTTATAAAATAAAGTTTTATTTTTTATTCGATAAAATAGTTTTTTTTTTCAATATTATTTATAGCCAAAAAGAAATCTTAGTGCATCAAAAATACGTGGTTATTGTCCATTAACACAAGATGGTGTCTTTGGTATTAATTGTCATTTACATGGAATAAATTTATGTTCAAGAAAATCTCATAACAATCAACGTACATATCGTTTACACGAACATTTTCTTCGTGTTCATCATTTAACTTCATTAGCATCACTTACACTTGCTCGAGCTATTCATTCAGGCCAAGATCCAATGACAACACAATTATTTAATGATAATCATATTATTTTAAATATTGACGAATTACGTACAGTTTTTTGTCCAATAAATAAACCTTTTATAAATTATCCATTACTTCATATAGTTAATTCACCATGTGATACAATCAAACAAGTACGACATCTTAAAGATCATCTTAAACGTGTACATAAATTTACAAATAAAGCAGCTAATATTATTATTAAAGCAGTGAAAGCTGATGCACCAATACATAAAATTCAATTTCCACGATGGATTGATATTATTGAAGATGATTAACATTTCTAAATCTATTTTATATTATATTTTGTTTCTTGTTTGTTTTTTTGATTCAAAAATTCATCTTTCGATAATTTCTTTTTTTCGTTTTGTTCTTTTTTTTTCTTTTTCTCTATTATGATGTATATATATATTTTTAATATGAAAGAACAAAAATAAAACTTGAACAATTGTTGAACCTAATCATTTTCTTTATGCTTTTTAATTTATTCATTGATCATTACCGGCAGCAAATAGTATTTGACAAGAGAAATTTGATCGACAGTTTAAGGAACAAAGCTTTTACGTCGTACAATATTTAAAATCGGCTGTCAACGTCTATCGTTTACGATCGCAATTGATAATTGATCACGAAAAATAAAAGGAGAAGAAGAGAGACATCCGGTATGGAAAAAAAAAGGACTGAAATAACAATAACACCATTAATCGTTATAATTGACAATATCCAAGATTGACCTTGAACAAACTATATGACTTGTTTGCACGGCAATCTAATGCAAATCGTTGTCAGTTTTGTTAATGTCTTTGAAAAATACAATTGTTGATGCTTCGCAGCAATCAACAAGACGATCATCCAATCCATTATTCATGATGAAAGCTTTTTCTTTCTTTGTCGTTTTTTTTATACAAATCGGCATGTTGTCAATTTCTCATTTCAAAAGGAAATGCGTGCGTCTGTCGATTCGCGAAGGCGTAATTTATTGAAATGCATCGACTATATAAATTGAACTACTCTGTTTTTTTTCCTACTAATTCTTACAAAAGACAGAAATCTTTTATATTTGAATCAAGAAAATAAAATATCAAAAAGACGATGGCTTTTTTATTGAATGATGGTACATCCAAACCATCATTTCGTAAAAGTTATTCTATTGAATATGGATATAAACCACGAAAACGAACATTAATTGCTGATGCTGAATTTGATCGTGAACAACATGATGAAGAACAACATAAACATCAACATCAACATATAAAACATGATGAACAAGTGAAAGAAGAATGTACTTATACAATATTAGTTACAATTAAGGATAAAAAAAGTGCATCAATACTAAATTTAATTAATACATTTAGTCGTGATGGACTCAAGGTACAACATATGGAAACACGTCCAACTGTTGTATCACCTGATAAAAACCTATCATCTACTGGTATGAAATTTTTATTTTTCCAATATAATAAATATTTTATATTTATTATTATTCTAGGTCTTGATATTTTTATGGAAGTTCTATGTACGGATAAACTTATGGATGATCTTAAACGAGATTTATTTCAATCGGATTCAAAATTTATTATTAAAAATATCAAGACTCATGCAGCTACATTAGGTAAAGAATCAAAGGAAACAAATAATGAAAATGACACAAATGATATTATTTGGTTTCC